GTCCCGACCATCACGGAAAATCGAGGTCCCACTGTACATATATATGAGATGGATGAAAAACCGAAAACATTTTAATTAAAATTTAATTAAACTATTTAGGGAATCAAACAGTCATTAAAGTATGAAAGCAACTAATGATCATTTGATTAATTTAATTAAAGAAAACAGAATATGTACGAGCAGTTATTGATTGGTTGCGACAAATGGTATTTAAATCAGCTAACAGGCTAGACTATAGACTATACTATAAACTAACTAGACTATAGACTAGACTATAGACTAGACTATAGACTAGACTATAGACTAGACTATAGACTAGACTATAGACTAGACTATAGACTAGACTATAGACTAGACTATAGACTAGACTATAGACTAGACTATAGACTAGACTATAGACTAGACTATAGACTAGACTATAGACTAGACTATAGACTAGACTATAGACTAGACTATAGACTAGACTATAGACTAGACTATAGACTAGACTATAGACTAGACTATAGACTAGACTATAGACTAGACTATAGACTAGACTATAGACTAGACTATAGACTAGACTATAGACTAGACTATAGACTAGACTATAGACTAGACTATAGACTAGACTATAGACTAGACTATAGACTAGACTATAGACTAGACTATAGACTAGACTATAGACTAGACTATAGACTAGACTATAGACTAGACTATAGACTAGACTATAGACTAGACTATAGACTAGACTATAGACTAGACTATAGACTAGACTATAGACTAGACTATGGACTAGACTATAGACTAAACTATAGACTAGACTAGACTATAGACTAGACTAAACTATAGACTAGACTATAGACTAGACTATAGACTAGACTATAGACTAGACTATAGACTAGACTATAGACTAGACTATAGACTAGACTATAGACTAGACTATAGACTAGACTATAGACTAGACTATAGACTAGATTATGGACTAGACTATAGACTAGACTATAGACTAGACTATAGACTAGACTGTAGACTAGACTATAGACTTGACTATAGACTAGACTATAGACTAGACAATAGACTAGACTATAGACTAGACTATAGACTAGACTATAGACTAGACTATAGACTAGACTATAGACTAGACTATAGACTAGACTATAGACTAGACTATAGACTAGACTATAGACTAGACTATAGACTAGACTATAGACTAGACTATAGACTAGACTATAGAGTAGACTATAGACTAGATTATGGACTAGACTATAGACTAGACTATAGACTAGACTATAGACTAGACTGTAGACTAGACTATAGACTAGACTATAGACTAGACTATAGACTAAACTATAGACTAGACTATAGACTAGACTATAGACTAGACTATAGACTAGACTATAGACTAGACTATAGACTAGACTATAGACCAGACTATAGACTAGACTATAGACTAGACTATAGACTAGACTATAGACTAGACTATAGACTAGACTATAGACTAGACTATAGACTAGACTATAGACTAGACTATAGACTAGACTATAGACTAGACTATAGACTAGACTATAGACTAGACTATAGACTAGACTATAGACTAGACTATAGACTAGACTATAGACTAGACTATAGACTAGACTATAGACTAGACTATAGACTAGACTATAGACTAGACTATAGACTAGACTATAGACTAGACTATAGACTAGACTATAGACTAGACTATAGACTAGACTATAGACTAGACTATAGACTAGACTATAGACTAGACTATAGACTAGACTATAGACTAGACTATAGACTAGACTATAGACTAGACTATAGACTAGACTATAGACTAGACTATAGACTAGACTATAGACTAGACTATAGACTAGACTATAGACTAGACTATAGACTAGACTATAGACTAGACTATAGACTAGACTATAGATTAGACTATAGACTAGACCATAGACTAGACTATAAATTAGACTATAGACTAGACTAGACTATAGACTATAGACTATAGACTATAGACTATAGACTAGACTAGACTATAGACTAGACTAGACTATAGACTATAGACTATAGACTAGACTAGACTATAGACTAGACTATAGACTAGACTATAGACTAGACTAGACTAGACTAGACTAGACTACACTAGACTAGACTAGACTAGACTACACTAGACTAGACTAGACTAGACTAGACTAGACTAGACTAGACTAGACTAGACTAGACTAGACTAGACTAGACTAGACTAGACTAGACTAGACTAGACTAGACTATAGACTAGACTATAGACTAGACTATAGACTAGACTAGACTATAGACTAGACTATAGACTAGACTAGACTATAGACTAGACTATAGACTAGACTATAGACTAGACTATAGACTAGACTATAGACTAGACTATAGACTAGACTATAGACTAGACTATAGACTAGACTATAGACTAGACTATAGACTAGACTATAGACTAGACTATAGACTAGACTATAGACTAGACTATAGACTTGACTATAGACTAGACTATAGACTAGACTAGATTATAGACTAGACTATATTTTTCTATTTTTTTAACATTTTTTTTATTTTTTTAAAAAATTTGCTTAATTATTTAATTTGTGTTTACATTTATTCTCAAAAATACGATATTTTTCTAAAAATTTTTAATACTTACCAAAATTAACAAATTCTCTCTAGTAATCCTTTAAATACTGCAATTTTACCTTCAAATTCCCTGCCTTCGGCAAAGAAATCACTCTTCCCTACTAATAACATAAATTCCACCATCTGGCAGCTCTTTTTGCTTCATCACAATAAACATAAACAAAGCAAAATTTAGCATAAATTGCAAACACACACACACCTTGGCAAATACTTATTTTAACATTTTCACTTTAACGCCGCTAATTAATTAATTTCTTTCAATTGCCTTTTTTATATTTAATTTATAAACAAAGCAAACTTAATGCTTCTTTATTATTAACTTTTTACTGCTACACTTGCACTTTTCTATTGGCCACAACAACAAACACACAACGAACGCAAACCGGATGGCGAACAGAAACTTTAACTACTTTTTTTTTGCTTTTTGCAAAGAATTTAGCCAGCTAATTAAAACTTTTTCTTTATAACAAACAATTATACTTATTATTACACTATATGTGTTGTTATTTTATTAAAATTATTAACTTTTTACTAGTAAAAAAACACTTTTACTTTAAGTTTTCTTCACAAGTAAACCCGCCGCGTACCGTTGTTAAAAGCAACTAAAACAACATAAAGGAAATATGAAAAAAAACAAGAAGAAGCGCGCCACTTAGGAGAGGAAATGTCAAAGTTTGGCCAAAAAGAGAGTCTTGGCAAAACTCCGTTTTTTTATACACATGTATGTATGAATGTATGTAAAGCAACAACAACATTAAGTTATGTTTACTTGCAATTATTAGTGATGCCACCGTTTATGGAAAAGAATATGTAGAAAAAACCGTTAAAATTTGAAATTTTGAATGAAAAGGTAAGAAATTATCAAATAATTATTACAAATTAAAACTTTTTATTAATTTTTTTAATGATTAAAGTATTTGTATTAAAATTAAGTAAAAATATAATGAAAAAGACTAGACTATAGACTAGACTACAGACTAGACTATAGACTAGACTATAGACTAGACTATAGACTAGACTATAGACTAGACTAGACTATAGACTAGACTATAGACTAGACTATAGACTAGATTATAGACCAGACTATAGACTAGACTATAGACTAGACTATAGACCAGACTATAGACTAGGCTATAGACTAGAGTATAGACTAGACTATAGACTAGACTATAGACTAGACTATAGACTAGACAATAGACTAGACTATAGACTAGACTATAGACTAGACTATAGACTAGACTATAGACTAGACTATAGACTAGACTATAGACTAGACTATAGACTAGACTATAGACTAGACTATAGACTAGACTATAGACTAGACTATAGACTAGACTATAGACTAGACTATGGACTAGACTATAGATTAGACTATAGACTAGACTATAGACTAGACTATAGACTAGACTATAGACTAGACTATAGACTAGACTATAGACTAGACTATGGACTAGACTATAGACTAGACTATAGACTAGACTATAGACTAGACTATAGACTAGACTATAGACTAGACTATAGACTAGACTATAGACTAGACTATAGACTAGACTATAGACTAGACTATAGACTAGACTATAGACTAGATTATAGACCAGACTATAGACTAGACTATAGACTAGACTATAGACTAGACTATAGACTAGACTATAGATTAGACTATAGACTAGACTATAGACTAGACTATAGACTAGACTATAGACTAGACTAGACTAGACCATAGACTACTAGACTAGACTATAGACTAGACTATGGACTAGACTATAGATTAGACTACAGACTAGACTATAGACTAGACTATAGACTAGGCTATAGACTAGACTATAGACTAGA